TAAGAAATCCATGATTAACAAATGATCAGTGTTTTAAATAAAGGTAAGATTGAGACTGAGTTTTCCCCTCATGCTTCTGGCATCACTAAGTCTTGGCAAGGACGCTGGTTCTTATCTGAAGCTACTGAGTCAGAATTTGTGGGAGGAAAGTCCAGGAATCTGTTTTATTAAGATTTACCGGTGATTTTTGCACATGATAAAGTTTAGGAAGTACTGGAAGGATGGTCACTGGTGTTTCTCTCCCGCCCTCTCTGTTTGTTTACTCTGATGAACGAAGCCACATATTGTAGGAACCCAGATAGGAAGGGCCTGAGGATCCCTGCAGGCAGCAGCCACCAGGCAAGCTAGGAAACAGCCCAGGCCCAGCGGGCACTGAGCTGCAGCCCTGGGAGAGACTAAGCCGAGGTCCCTGGAAGCTGCCTGGCTTCCAAAGCAGGGAAAATGTGAGGTGACAACTGTGTGTTCTTTCAAACCACTAGGTTTGTGTTCATCTGTGTCATAGAAATAACTTTTATATTCTAGGTTTTTATACATTAATATGGATTAGTGGTTTCCAAGCTCATCCAGGCATAAAATCCAACAGTGCTGACATAGATATAATGAAGCATATAATGGATGCACTTATTTATTAAGGATCTATATCTATCATCTTTATATTATATATTGTCATGTTGATTGTGTATTGTTATTTTTGTAACATCCTTGAGATATAATTCATGTCATACCATTCCTCCATGTAAAGTGTACAATTCAAAAAAAATAAAGTGTGCAGTTCATGGTTTTTAATATATTCAGAGTTGTGCAAGTATCACCACAATTAATCTTAGAGTATTTTTAGCAGATCAAAAAGACACCATAGTTTACCTATCATAGTACCCCAATCCCCTTCAGTAAACTATGTGTTAGCTCCTAAGATTTCCCTATTTTAAATATTTAATATAAATGGAATAATAACACATGTGGTCTTGAATTGCTGGCTTCCTTCACTTAACATAGTATTTTGGAAGCTCACCCAGGTTGTAGCATGTTTCAGTTATTCTGCTTCTCTGTTTGTTTGTTTGTTTTTGTTCTGTTTTGAAACAGTGCCTCACTCTGTAGTTCAGCCTGGAATTGAACTCATTATGTAGCCCAAGTTGGCCTCGAACTTGCATCATTCTCTCTGCCTCAGCCTCCTGAGTGCTGAGATTGCAGTTACGTGCCACCATGCCTGGCTATTTTGCTCTTTTTACAGCCAAACAATATTTCACTTAAAAATAGTCTCTTGTAAAGTAAAATTCCATGTAAAGCTTTTTTTCCATTTTATGTTTAAAAAAATAGGAATAATACTGTAACACTTTTTTACCTTTGAAAGTATTAGTGCGTTTCATGAATTCTCTAGGTGTATACATCTGACCCTAATGATATCCAAACAACATAGCAACATAGTCATTGGTTATATTGAGAGATATTTGTCTAAATTTTACTTTTGGTCCTTTTGAGACAGTTTAGGCTGGTTTTTAACTCTCTTAAGGTTAGACACTCTGCAGTTTAGGCTGGCTTTTAACTCTCTTTGTAGCCCAGGCTGGCTTCAAACTCACAGCAATCCTCCTGCCTTAGCCTCCTAAGTGCTGGGATTACAGGCATATGCCACAATGCCCAACTATATGTCTTAATATTAAACAATAAAATACCTATTTTATACCATAGGCAACTCCCCCATATGTACATACCAGTGGACTGAGGGAAGAACTTTATTAGTATATGTCTCTGATGTACTATAATTATATTCACTTTGGGGAACTGGTACATACACATACATATCGCCTCTTAATGGTAGAAAGAGAACTTTTCTTTCAAACCTCTCTTCTATCAAATTTTACTTCAGAGCAGCTCGTGTGACACCAGGCCTCTGATGTAATGCTTGGCCTTTGTTTCCACAGCTGGTCAGTCAGTACTGTAACATGCCCCATAGTCCACAAGCATGACAGGGAAATGATATACTTGTAAAGAGCACAGGGATCCAGACAAGAAAAACACAGGCTTTCTGACTAGTGAGCAGCCAGGTACCTATCTTTGGGTCTCAGCTGCAATCCAGACCCTCCATTTCAGAGGCACATATAGCGCTTTTATAGCCCTTGATCTACCAAGAATCATTGCTTTTTGCTCTTTCCCTGGAGATATTTGCTCATTGTCATGGATTCTTCATCACATCATGCAAAGGTACCCCAGGAACTAGAGGATTAACCCCCTCCCCGTTCTTAGAAAGGTGCTGGACATCACTTACTGGCAACTCACTTGAGAACTGCCATGTTGGAAGACGGCCACTGTCACTTTACCCTGGTCACATGCCCAGTCAGAGGCAGGCTGCACACTGCGCCCGGCCGGCCAACTCCGGGTAAGAAGGCCTGGCTCCCTGCACCAGTTCACACAATGCTGAAGTCCTTCCATCTTCAAAGCATTGAGGAGGGTCAGCTGAGGCCTCAGTTACCACTGCCTCGCTGTCTGACTTACCTCTCCACCCAGCCCTGCTTATTTTTCTTCCTCCTACTGGTATTGATCCAAAAGTACTCGCTAATAAACCTCCTACAAGTCAGTCTCTGCCTGGGAGTCTGCTTCCCAAAAAGCCCAACCTCCTCCAATTATGGAGCATTTTTATGCTGTGGTAATTAGAGGCTGAACACTTGATGTGTGGAAAAAAGAGCAGTAGGAGGGGAAGCAGGTGATTCAGCTGGTGCGATCTACTAGTCATGGGAAACCGTGGACACCCTTCACTCTCCGATGATGACATTGCAGCCTTGCACCAGGCCACATCTATGTGTTACCATAGCCTATGTACCATGTGTTCGTCCCAGAAGACCCTTAATTCTTCCCCCAGACCTTATGAGTTCAAGGCTCAAGACACCGAAGAGGATTCTGAACTGAGTTTTGTCTGGGTTGGGGATCTGTCACATTCAATCTTGTGGCAGTCAGGCTTCTCAAGACTCTACATGTGCGTCTTGGTTCTACTCCCTCCCTTACAACTCAATAATCATAGTAGAAGCTGGCTGATCCCAGAGAAAAACAAACCCTCCACTTGTGCAGCTGAAAGGGAATGTGAGTGGAGATGTGTTCAGTTCAAGCAGCCCCTCTGGCTTCTCAGAAAACTTTCATGATTACTGATCTCCGCTGAAGGGCAGGAAGAGCCCAGAGAAAGCAGGGTCCGGCTCAGAAAGGTTGATCCAACCTCACAGTGTAGCACAGGCAGATTAGAGACTCAGGTCATTATTGCCAAGGCTGGAGCTACAATAGTTTCAGGCATCAACCCAAAGGTGAAACAAGGAAGGAGGCAAACAGGGAGTGAGGCTGAAAAGGAAGAAAGTAAGACACGCTACAGAATCAGGCATTCATCGGAAAGAAGCTGGGAAGAGCACCCAGCTGGGGCAGCTTCCTTCCTCAGGTCTCCTGGTGCGCACAACAGGCATTAGTGTGGCCACTTTGTGTCTATCTGGACTGGACAACCTTCCAATCTTCATTTCCTTTCCTTGTAACCCTCTCCTCAAAAAATCTCACTCACTGAAAATGACAGGAGGGACCAGCAAGTGGAAGATGTGACAGCAAAGAGAAGCTCACAAGTCCTCTGCAAGCCCGACCTACCACATACACACTAATTTTTCTCTCTGATTTCCCAATACTGGAAGAACCACGGCTCTCCCACACACGGCGCACCACAATCACAACAGACATCACCTGACCCAGGTAAGGGTAAGGTACCTGGACATAGACTGTGGGAAAACTTATGTTCTCTCCCTGCCCTTGAGGCAGAAGCGCTACCCAAAACTCCTGAAAACCCTCAGCGTGCACCTTAAGTCTGTATTATTTTAACCTATGATGGGACTCATAGACTAGAGAAATGGAAAGCAAAATTCATTCAGTCCAGCTCATCTTTTGTAGCGTCCCCAGTGAGATCACGGCTGGAGAGGCCAGTGTGTGCCTCACCGGAATGAAAGGCTGACGCCAAGGGTGATGACTGATAAGAGGGTTGTGGGCTTGTCTGTTTTCTTGGTGTTTCAAACTGTGTCAGATTTGGAGAGGGACTTCTAAGCCTAATTTTGAGACACCACAAGTGATTCATAAATACCTTAAGACGTGACTAAAATTTGCAACATAAACTTGATCTTATTTTTTTTCACTTCAGTTTTTAAACATCTTTGTCGGGTACATAAGAGTTTAAAAAAAGAAACTGGATACCATGTTTGGCGAAGGGAAGAAGCCCCAAACATGCCAGTACATGGCAATGTCTTCCAGATTTCTCTTAGAATTAGGGGGGAGGGATGGTCCTGTTTTGCTTTGTTTGCTTGTTTGTTTGTTGAGACAGGGTCTTGCTGTGTAGTTCAGACTGCACTTGAACTAACTATGTTGCTTAGGCTGGCCTCGAGCTCATGGTAATCCTCCTGCCTCAGCCTCCCAAGTGCCGAGATTACAGGTATGCACCATCATGCCCAACCTCTTCTAAGAATTTCGGATTTCCAAAGTATAAGAGTTGCTGGCCCACAACTTCTAAAGTCAGGGTTGAATCCACTTCCAAGTGCCAGACACAGAGCCAGTGCTTTATCACGCTCATCTCAAGAAGAGATAAAGGTAAACCGGGCATGGGGCATGCACCTAGAATCCCAGCCCCTGGGAAACTGAAGCAAGCTTGAGTCCCACCAGGGAAATTAATAAGACCTCATTCCAAAATTGAAAAGAAATATAAAGGACTGGGTGTGTGATGCAGCACAAGCCCCTGGGTTCAATGCTCAGGACTGGGGAAAAAAAGATAAAGGTAAACTAAAAACAGGAAAATAAACATCTGCTCCCATGCTCTGTGACCCTGAGCAACAGCTTCCATTCTCTGAGCCTCTGAGTTCTTACTGAAATAGAGGAGATTGCGACCTGGAACTCGAGAATTACATGACATTATTTATATGCCAAGCTCTGCCCTTAGCTTCCTGGAATTTTTATTATTTATGTGTGGCTCCTCCTTCCCCGTCAGTCCCTTGATTAAAGAGCTTGCTTCCCTGTCTGAAGGCTTCTGAAGTGTGAGCAACACCTCCTGACTCCTGCCAGAATCAGCTCTGCCCAGCATGCGAGCTGCCTCGCTCGGCGGCACCCGGGCCAGCCTCAGCCTCGGCCTCCTGCTTCTGCTCGGGCTCTGGCTGGACAGAGGTGTGCGAGCCAAGGAGCTGAAGTTTGTGACAGTGGTAAGTGCGCTCTCTCCTCGCTTTTCCTGGGAGATCATACCAGCAGGGGCTGAAAATCAAGCACTGGGTTTCATTTCACTCTTCTGTTGTCTCCCAGATCTGGGATCTGTTAAGACTCAGAAAGCAAATAATCAAGTTTGGCAAGTTCCTCTCAGGACATAACATGCATATCCTAACAAAAAAGTTGTGCTGATTTTTTTCTTTTTCTCTTTCTTCTTTTTCCTTCAATGATGTTATTTGCTTACTTTACAACTGCCTTCAATTCAGGTTCCTTTTTGACAACCGCACTGGAACTACAGAAGCAGTTGCTGGTGCTCTTTATGTCGTGGGAGCTAACCTGGCTTCCTCTGATTTAATGATTATTTGCTTGTAAGCCAAAAGCAAAGTTTTCCTCCCACACATTAAGCATCCCCTTCCCTTTATGGTTATCAAAAAATCAGAGCATATATTGGTAAACAGCCTCTGTAGCATGAAAGAGAAATTAAACTCTGAATTTTTGAGAATGCACTGACGTATAGATTTAGTTGATCACTGAAGTCATGGTTGTGCTGGCCCAAGTATGTGGGACAAGTGCAGGGAAAGCACAGAGAGGTGTTAATGCATGGATCATGTTAGGAAAATAACTACACCATTGGCACTGCTTAGAAATGTATGGAAACTGTTAGCAAAGCAAAGGGAGCTTACAGTGTTACATGGACTCTTTCATTTTCTATGTGTGGCACCTTTTCTCTCTGTGTGTTTTTGTGTGAGTGTGTGTGTGTGTGTGTGTGTGTGTGTGTGTGTGTGTGTGTCTGCATGTGTCTTTGTGTTTAAAACCCTCCTTATCTTTCACAGGCTCTCTTGTTCTTTCTGGTCTCTAAATTTTTTATCTGATACAATGAAAGTGGACTGATTAACAAGTAACTTTTCTTTCTGTAAGAATACACAATGTTTATTTTTGTTATTTGGACGAATACTACCTTTCACTTAAAACTTAAACATGAAGTTCCTGTCTTCTCAACTTGGTGCATTCAGAACTTTCTTCTTTACTTTCTACAGATAACCTGATAACCATGTTTATATAAGTCATGATTCTTAGTACAGTTAATCTTTAATAGGTCATGAGTCAACAACAGAATGAAAAGAACCAGAGAAACATATTAGTTTATAAGCCAAAGATCTGGCACCTGCGGGATTTCTGTGCTGTGGACACAGCCTCATATCGCATGCCTTCCATAGGTGACTTTGACTCACGGTTTCCTTGTGAACATGTTCAGTAGAAACAAAGCATGGGGCCATGGAAACCTTGCTGTTTGCCATCTTTGTCATCCTGTAAACTGGGGCATGCGTCGCAATTTTACAGGAACACCGGCTACCACATACGGTAGATTCTGCCCTCTCTGCTTTGCTCTCAACTTCAGCTAACCTCCCTTAACTATCACACTGTGCATTTCCTTCCCCCTTTCCATTTTGGTTAAAGTGTATGCAGGGACTACAAGTTAATTCTTCCCTGAGGAACACCAAAATGCAAAGGTAGTTACCTTGGAATTAAAACATCAACAAGTATTGCCTGAAACTAATATTCATTATCTTTCTTTCCAGGCGTCCTTCCATTAATGATAAATGAAGGACAATGTACTGCAGCTTCCTGACCCTTAACCAAACCAACTTTCATGACTTAAGCCAGAAGATAATACTTTCTTCTCCTATTGATTGTAGAGAATATTTTACTTTCAATGATTACATCATATATGCAGGAAAATACTTGGAAAAGTTTTGGGAGAACCAGAGTAAAAGAAAGGAGTCAAGGTACTTACGCCACACCAAGCAGTGTTCTGAGGGTTCAGTATGGATTGTGTCACATGATTCTCTCAAAGGTCCTATAAAGGAGGGTTGCTAGAAAAAACATAGGACAACCAGTTGAATTTAAATTTCAGCTAAGAAGAGAATAATTTTTAGCAGAAGTATGTTCCATGCAATATTTGGGCATCTTATATTTTTATTTTCTAAGTCTGGCAACCATTCTGAAAAATTTTTAAAACTTATTATCCCTACTTTAAAGATGAAGACATGAGAAATAAAGTGATTAAGCAATCTGTTCATAGTCACACAGCTGGAACAGCAAAGATAGATCCGAACCCAAGCTGTCTGACCCACTGGCCATGCCACTAATCACTAGATATAGTCTTCTGTGCGCCCATAATTCAGAAAAGAGAGCTGGTCTGAGATCCCTAGAAGGTTTACTATATTAGTCTGACTTAGAATCAGTAGGTAGGGGCCAGGCATATAGGTCAGCAGGACAAACCCCTGCCTGCTAAGCACAAGGTCCTGAGTTTGATTCCCAGTACAAAAAAAAAAAAAAAGAAAAAAGAAAAAAAGAGAGAATCAGTAGATAATTTCCTGGCTTATCCTCTGTGATTCAAGAAAAATAAATCTTATCCAAAAACTGTTCATGGCAGAAAGAACAGGAAACTGTCCTTGGTTCTTGTTCCTGCCTATGAATAGTCACAGTATGATCTTTTGAGGGGGTGGGTAGTAACCGGAGCTTGAACCCACAGCCTTCACACTGAGCTATGTCCCCAGCTTTTTTTTTTTTTTTTTTTTTTTTGAGTTAAGGTCTTGCTGAGTCATTAAATTGCCCAGGTGGAACTCAAATTTTCAGTTCTCCTGCCTCAGCCTCGCAGAGAGCTGGGATTACAGGCATGTGCTACCACAGTTGGCTACAACATGATCTTTCTAAGCAGTTGCCAAATTGATTCCCTTGGAATGCCAGTTCAGTGACTTCTGGTTTTACTTTTGGGTTTTGGGTTTTTTGTTTTGTTTGTTTGTTTATATTCTGAGATAGGGTCTCAGTATTTCATTTGGGCTGTCCTTGAACTCACTGTAGAGCCCAGGCTGGCCTCAAACTCACTGCAATCCTTCTGCCTCAGCCTCCCAAGTGCTGGGATTACAGCTGTGCAGGTGTTACAGGCAATGACTTATTAATAGGTGCTGAATGAGAAAAAATGGGTTTTCAAAGTTAAGTCAGCTTTGGGGACAGAAAGTGGGGCAAAGTGTGTTAAAATATATCTTTAGCAGCACTACTCAGTCTTTAATAGGCACTGTTGCTCAGTGTGGTGGTGCACGCCTGTAATCCCAGCATTTGGGAGGCTGAGGCAGGAGGATTGCTGTGAGTTTGAGGCCAGCCTGGGCTATAAAGTTAGTTTAAGGCCAGTCTGAACTACACAGCAAGTCTCAAAAACAAACAAACAAACAAACCAATCACCGTGGTCTTCAAGGAAAGGCTGTAAGGATCTACTACACTGTTTCCTAAAATGACTGTGGTGTCCACCTCTCCCTTTTCCCCCAGAAAGAGCTCAGAGAATTTTTATTTTTAACTTTACGGAGGGACAATAGTGAGTGTGCTGAGTCCTGTGTGCCCATCAACCAGCTTAAATCATCATCGCTCAGGGCCAAGCCTGTTTCTTTTGTGTGCCCACCCACTCCCCACACACACCCACGTGGCTTTTTTAAAGTCCCCTCCTGTCCCATATTATTCCCCCAGGAACAGGGCACTGGCACTTTAAAGCACAATCTCTCCCTTCCGCCAGGGTGAAACCACAAAGTCATTTCAGACCAAGAGAAAAACTCCCTCTCGTTCCCCCAGGGTTTTACAGAGAAAGGGACGAGGAGTCGTTCTCGTTCTCGGGGATGGCTCTTCATTCTGCGTGGATGACGTCTTCACGGAGCATTCTTACCCAGTCACAGGGCATTCTCGAGGGACACAGCCTCCCACCTCTGAGCAGCTGTGTCTACCTGGGATGGATGAGTAACCTCCAAACTGCAGGTGCAGAAATTCAAATGGTGCCATCGCATGGCTCACATTCTTTCTCACTCCTAGTTCACGTTGACAGTCTAACCCCATCATTGATTTTCTAGTGCTATTTTCCAGGACAGAAGTTGCAGGTCAGACTTAGGGATGCACTGAACAATCATTAACTCAGTTCCACCACCACTGGCCAGGTTTGGGACCATACACGTGTCACTTAATGCAACAGCTGCATTTCAAGTGCCCAGATTGAAAGTTGGAGTGACAGCAGTAACCATACTTCTTACCTCACACAGTCATATTTAGATCAAATGACAAGATGCACGTGTGCAATTGTGAGCTGTGATTCAGTCGTAAGGTGCTGCTGGAACTCACCCATCTAAAATAGAAGCTTTCCAACTTTTTTCAAACATCTAGGCGATCTTTAAGTATGCTCTTTTTTTTTTATTTTTATTTTAAAGAATAAAAGAAGGATAACATAATAATAGGGGGACTTAGCAAATTACAGACAAAATGGTAGGATATTATCAATGGTTATCGTTTTACATATTATTATCTACAAAATAGTTTCTCAGGAAAACAAATAGACAAATAATAGTGAGTTA